CGATAACTCCTCTCTCTCTTCTTCTGAATCGCAACCGAAAATTGTGAGATCATTTCAATCGATTTCAATTTTCTGGGTTATAAGTGAGACCCAGGTTAGGGATTTATCCGATTTTCCAGAATCGAGTTAGAATTTTAGGGTTTGAGATTGATGATTTCGGTGTAGAACTGATGCGATATTGATGGTTTGATTTAGGTTTTGAAGCATTTGAATCTTTATTTCCTCTTATACTACTCTATAACGCTAATTATTGCTTTGATTTTGATGTAATTAAATTGTTTCCTCACCAAAAAAATCCGAACTTTAGTTTTTTTTTTTTTTGGTGTGAACGATGATTCTCTCTGTGTTAAAGGTTTGATTTTTGAACGGCTTTCTTGATCAGGAAGATGTCAAACCATCCGAAGATCACATGTGTATCTTCGGCTCATCAGAATCTTGTGGAGAAGCTAAGGGAACTTCAAGAGAGATTCTGTCATCTTCAGGCTGCTATGAAGGAAGGGAGGCTTAGTGATCTTGCACTTTTGGAAGCACAAATCTCTCAGGATCTCCGTGAATGGCAAGCTGAGCTCACTGCTCCTTCTCCAGAATCTTCTCTTCTGGTTCGTATTATGTCTTTGTCTTTTAGTTTAGTGGATCGTAGCTTGGTTGCTGTGTTGAGACCAAGTCGCAGGATTAGCTTCGTTGGATGAGAATGATTCGTTTGTATTTTGTTTGCTTTGATTTTGTGGATTTTGATGTTTAAAAATGTGCAGGGTGGAAGTATTAACTATTACTCTGAGGAGATAGCTCGTATGTTGAACTTAAACAGTGAGGAGGATGATGCAACTAGTGCGTTAAAGGAACACGCTGAACCAAAACCCGAGGATTTCGCTCAACGCTTGTGTCATCCAGAATGGACAGCTGAGTCTTTTAGTCAAAGTCCTTTGAACGTACATTTCTCCAATGAGGTGAGCTAGCTACTGTTGTAGCCTGGTTGCTGCATTCTTTTGGGTACTACAAGTTTCTGCATCAAATTGATAGTGATTATGAAAGTCTCTGCTATAAGGGTCTGTCCAAATTGTCTTCTATAAAAATTTTGCCTAAATAAATTTTTGACATTGATGTCCAGATCATCCTTAGTTGTCTCTTAGTTTTGGGTTGTTGGTTCCATGCTTTTAGAAATTTGTAGCACTTATTAATTATGTACTCTATTTGATCTTTTCCATTCTTGTCTTAGTTTGAATTTGTTTGGTTATTTCTTACAGTTCATCTTTTTTTTTTTTTTAATCTCAGAATGCTGTTAATAACAATGAATCACAAGGCCAGCAACTCCATTTTGAGTTTGATCCAAGCATCCATACCGGTCCTGATTTCCATGACCATGAACTCAGCAGCTTCGATATAACTCAGTTGGATTACTATCTATCAGAGACACGTCAGGAGCTCGACAACAGCCAGTCCGTTAAGCTTGATGTTTCTGACGGGATTGAAAATTACGTTGAATTTACTACTCCATCAAGTGCCCGTGTACCTCCTTCTGCTGTTTTGGGACCAAAGTGTGCACTATGGGATTGCCAAAGGCCTGCTCATGGAAAATTCTGGTACATGGACTACTGCGGTGACTCCCATGGGAATCTAGCTCTTAATGAAGATTCACTCAGCACAGCACCTGTCTTAATACCGGGGGGCATCGGTTTGAAAGATAATGTATTGATTGATGCTCTTCGTGCAAAGACTCTGGGTAAGAATGTTGGCATCCCAGTGTGTGAAGGAGCTGTTAATACAAAATGTCCATGGAACGCAGCAGGTGTGAGCCGAGTTTTACGTCTCTTCATTTAGAACATTTCATTATCTCTTTGAAAAGTGAAACGAAATGAGAGTTTCTGAGTTTCACTTCTTTATTTTTCGCCTTAACCGTTTCTTCATATTATGTTACACTTGCAGAGCTATTTCATCTTGAACTGGTTGAGGGCGAAACGATTAGGGAATGGCTCTTCTTCGACAAACCTAGAAGAGCATATGATAGCGGAAACCGAAAGCAAAGATCACTTCCAGATTACAACGGGCGAGGCTGGCATGAATCAAGAAAACAACTGATGAAAGAACAAGAAGGCCAGAAGAGATCTTACTACATGGATCCACAACCTTCTACCCTCTACGAGTGGCATCTATTTGAATACCAAATCAATGAATCTGACGGATGTGCATTATATCGACTTGAACTCAAATTGACAAATGGAAAGAAGAGTCCTAAGGGAAAGGTTGCAAAAGACCCTCTAGCTGATTTGCAGAAGAAGATGGAGAAGATGGGACAGTTAACACCTGAAGTGGCTTCAGACAAACCCTCTCCACCCACCAAAGGTCGTACAAAAGCTACGAAAGGAGCTAAGTTAGCAAGTGGCAGTCTGACTCGAGACACGACGGCCCCTGCAACAATTGCTCCAACTTATGTCTCAAACAATCATACAAACGAGTCATTATCACATCAGTGATGATTTCAGCCTCTGTATCTGACAACTTTATGATGTCTTAGGATCATCATAGTTAAAACCTCTTTGATGATGGTTGGTGTTAACAGGGAGAAGTCCGATCTTTGCCCTTTTCTATAGAGAATCTGAAATGGGTTGTAAATCTTTAGCTTATTTTTTCTTCCTCTAAAACCATTAGGATTTTGTTGAAAAGTTTGTCTAATTCTCTTTTATCATGTTTCAGTATTCCAAATCAAACGTAGCTTCAATCTAAAAATGATATTGAGTTTCAATCCAAAGAATCACATTTATCTACACAGCTGGGAGTCGCTGAATCTGAAAATGACAACTCTGTTTTCTTTGTAATGGACATCAATCTGAAAATGAACCATACAAATGTAAGCAAACCTTAAACAAATCCAACATCGGAATCACATGTCTCGAACAAGTTATTATACGCAGATAAAAACTGAGCTTGCGGAGAATATGAGCCAACAGATAATGCTGAAGGAATTGCAACGGAGAGATGAAATGATTCAGTAATTGCACAATGATACTTATGAACAGCAACAAAGACAAAAATTAGAGATCTAAAAGCTTGAGAGTGAGCTTCGTATGATGATGACAAGTGTATTAGCAGTTGCATCAAAGCTTTGAAAAAAACACAAAAAGAAATGCAGAAAGCAGATGAAATGCTACACTTTGCGTGAGCCGTAACGGACCGTTGTTAAAGGTTTTGGAGGTTTAGTATTGAGCATTGCTGAAACCGAAAAGCAAAGATGGAAGCAAGAAGAAGAAGAGCGGATGATACGAGCTCTAATAAAGAGAGAAGCATAAGAATCTGGACATCGCTGGATTAAAGTATATGAAGTAAATCTTAACCAAAATGTTGAGTTGCTTGAACAACTTTCATCATAAACTAGTTACTCAACTTAGAGTTGCTCACACAGTTCTGTAAATAGCCTATCCGCAAACTAAGAAAGCCGGAGTCTTGTTTAACATTTCCTTAATTGAGATCCCACCTATCAAATACTTACTTGGATCTTCCAAAAACATTGGCTTAAGTTTGTTCAACAAAAACTCTTCTAAAGAAGTCAACTTTTACCGAAACTCCACGAGCTACTCAAGAACCTGCCTGGTGAAATCATGCCTTCATTCAATTCCATAATCATCATATCAGTGTCTTCATCGTCATACGTACCATCTGCTGCCAGTGACAAATATTGGGAAATGAATACAAACAGAACAATCACATAAAAAACATTAAAAAAAACTAGTTGTAGTTTTTTTTTTTCATATACCTTCAAGACTTTCATTAACAATGTGAAGAAAGGCCAATGCCGTGTCTACTAAAGCTTTCAGTTTCGCTTTTCGACCTGAGGTTGAGGGAAGAGATGCGCGCTTACCCTTTCGACCTGAGGGTGAGGGAAGAGACCCGTCCTTGTCCTTGCCCTTTCGACCTGAGGTTGATGTTGAGGGAAGAGACGCGTGCTTACCCTTTCGACCTGAAGTTGAGGTTGAGGGAAGAGACGCATGCTTACCCTTTCGACCTGAGGCCGAGGTTGAGGGAAGAGATGCGCGATTACCCTTTCGAGCTGATGGTGAGGGAATAGATACGTGCTTGCCTCTGCTTAGCCATATATGGTTACAAATTGGTTTAGCAAGGTGGTTCAAAGATTCGCCTCTGTGCAACTGAACAGCTCTCTGATAACTCAGAACCTGGTAGATCAAGGCAGGAAGTACAGGTCTGAATTTCGACTCTACCATATGACCCATCCTAATGACCTGATCATAAGCAAGCTTCCCAAAATTGAAAGGCGTTTTCTCCAAAAGCATGTAAAGAAACTTAGAGAGAGTGCAAGTGTTCGAAGTAGGAATCCAATTAGCACAACACACAACATGCAATGCTGCTACAGGAGGTGTAAGATAAGCAGGAGTTATCTTCTTCCAATCTTTTACTTTACCATCAGTAAGTGTTGCAGCAATCAGATTCAAATCCACATCAATCCAAGTCTCTTTCTTCTCACGGTAG